GGATAGGATGTGGGCAACATTTGGCTTCATACTTTTTCAGGAGATTAGAAGGAAAAATACAAGGTGATCACAGTATGGAGAGTTGTAGGAATGATCTGCTTGGGACACAAGTGCAAGGTGGAGACTTTGGTTAGCATCAGCTCCACAACTGACTTGATTTTTAAATTTCAAATAAGTTTGCCAACTATGAAAATCAATTAATAATACTTAACAGAAATTTTATAATTTAGAGTTGTCTGCTTTGAAAATATAAATTATTGTTTATTAATTGACCTGCTGTATCTCCCAGTTGATCTTTGGACTTGTGATAGTCAAGAAAAATAGCCTGGAGAATAATCGTTGGCATGTATTTTTCACATTAGCACTCCTGTTCCTGAAGGAAGGACTGGTGATTTAAGAGATTAACAGCATTATTTCTATGTGAAAATGTCAGAAAGTCTTATAACCCAAATGCTTATTTGTGGTTTGCTGTTTTTTGAGGAGTATGATTAACTTGAGTTGCTGAAAGGCCCACCTTCAGTAAGAAAAAAATGTAATGTTTGTACGATATTGTTTGGCAAATTATGTTAAAAGAGTGTGACCGCTTCCAAATATAATTCACTTTATGCAAGAGAAAAATGAGAGAACACAAATTAACAATACATCTTTACTCCTACTTTTGTGCCTTAAGAAGAGTTACATGTGTTGGTACTGGCAACACCGGGACCACAGTTAGTATTTAGTAGTTTAGTAGTTTCAGAGGCATGCAATCAGTCTTTTGAAGGAAACTAGTTTTTACACCAAGATGTAGTGTTTTGTCTGAGTAAACTTATATTCTTGTTGTCTGTTAAGTAGTTATTCCCTGTTAAGAAACTCTGGAATCTGATACTCTCAATCTAACACGTGTCTCTTGAAATTGATATGGTAGTTCGGACTTCGGCTGGAGCAAGGTGTGACCTGCTTGCTTTCTTTTTATTGAGAGGATACTAGCGAAAAGAAATAAAAAAAAACCCAAACAGAATTGACTCTCCAAACCCCTTTGCCTTTTAATGAGTATGGAATTACACTACTTATTTGATCTATAGATCCAGATTAAAACTTAACATTCACTGCTCTTGATGCAGTGTTAATGTTTTGCTGGCTTTTCTGGTTCACTTTTGGTTTATTGCTAGAGGTCTGAAAATACATTTTTTGATTTTACACGTTTATACAGAAGGATGTTTATAGACTTCTAGGGTGCCTTGTTGTGAGAAAACTATGGATTTCTCAGAATTATTTGTCAGTAGTGTAAAAAGACCAACACAAACATACTCCTGTAGCGGCTTACTGCTCTGAAATTATATATGGGAAACAAATCATAATATTATTAACCAAACTTAATTGTTTTCTGCATAGGGAGTTTAGATTTCCAGTTTACAAATTTCAAGATCCACATTCCATGAATTCTAGTCCTTGGGTTTTTTATACTTTCATGCTCATAACAAATCAGTGCCTTTCTGATTTCGTCTTATCTGTGTTTTAATTGATGATAAATGTTTTACTATTAGTAATACAGACTTTTTTTTTTTTTTTTAATCAGGTATTTTGTATGCATGGTGCAGAAAAAATGAATTCTACTATGAGTGAGGAGCCTGATGCACTATCTGTAGTTAACCAACTCCGAGATCTAGCGGCTGACCCACTGAACAGACGGGCCATTGTTCAGGATCAAGGATGCCTGCCTGGTCTTATTTTGTTTTTGGACCATCCCAACCCTCCAGTTGTTCATTCAGCTTTGCTAGTAAGTGTTATGGAGATAAATTTGTATGTCAGTAGGATATTTTGTAACTCTGTTGATGTATCTTTAAAAAAGCAAAAATGTAAAAAATCTGGGTTTATATTATGTCGATATTCATTATACATGGTTTTTTAAAAACATATATTGCAAAAATTGTTTAGCAATGACATGTTATTCCAGGGGAATTTATATTTTTTGAAATAGATAATTTACTTTGCGTTTTTTCCCTAATACAGCTGTTTCACTTTTTGTGTGGAGGGAGGTAAGCACCCTTAAATTTCTCTGTCTTAAGATGAAGTCATGGAGCTTGGTAAATATACACAGTGATTCAACATTCATCTTGGAGAAAAAAAAAATTAAAATTGTAGGATAATTGAGATTAGAAACGACCTCCAGAGGTGATAAAGTCCAATCCCGTAATCAAATTAAGTGTACTCAGATCTTGGTTCAGGGTTACATCTGCTTGATTCTTGAACACCTTGAAGGATGGTGTTTCCATAACCTCTCTGGCACACTGTTCCAGCATTTGATACCCTCATGGAATTAACAACAAACACCACCCCCCACCCCAAACCCAACCCAAAATCTATTAATATCTAATACAATTTCTTCCAGCTTTTGTTCATTTCTTCTCCTGAATTCTAAATGTTAAAGTCCTGATTCTAAATCCTAAATCTAAATACTAACTTGTATTTCTTGCTTAGAAACAGGACAAACAAAAGTCAATTTTTTTTTTTAAGTCTAATTCAATTCTTCTAATAAGATTTTAAGTTACTAAAATTTATGTGGTTCTCTTTTCCATTTGTATGTCATTATTGAATTCTAAACAATATGAAACTAGGAAGTAAAGAGCTTTGGGTTTTCCACACAGTATACATTATTATTTTTACCATTAAGATCTGTCTGTACCATAATTCTTTATTTTTCATTTGTTTTACTTTCATAGA